TGCAGCTTCGTGGTCCCTTTGCCCATCTCACCTCGGCTTAAAGAGTTCTCGAGTGTATCTCCCGTATTCTCAGTGCCTGCTAGTAACTCTCCTCCCAGCGGAGCACCCACGGCCGCCTTTGGGCTGCGCCTCCAAGTCCTTTCCTTATCCCTGGGGTAACTCGGGATACAGTGTTCGCCCTTGAACCCGCCTCTGGCGCAACCCCAATGGCACCAGGCGCTCCAATTTCGCCAGGCACCCAGCCCTTCTGCAAGGAGGCAGCTCTCGCGAAAACCACTGCGGACTGGCGAGCAGTAAAGCAATTGCAAGGGCAATAAAAGGCAGCAAGGTGGGTCCTGCTGCTCCTTCCGGCTCTCCCTCGCCGTCCCTGGCGTACCCCCTCGCCCGCCTGCAGAAACCATCACACAAAGGCTCCAAAGCCAGGAAATGTCCAATCCACTTCCCTTCGAGTTTATTCATTGCCCACACAATTCATACACTCTGCGTTCAGCGACGAACGGAGGGCACGGGGAGCCGCAGACCCACTCCGCGCAGCGGGGAGCCTCGGCGCCCGCCTGGGCACCTCCAGCGACCCGGTCCCGCCGCCTCCAGGCCGCTGAGCGCAGGGTGGTACCGGGCCAGCTCGGTGTTTTACTTTTACCTCTCAGCCTCCTCGCGCCTTTGTTTGGGGCTGGGAGGTGGGTGGGGTTCGGGGTGCAACAATGAAGTCTGGAAATCAGTGCTCCCCAGGAGGACCTGTTGACCCCAGAAAGGGCATTTCCATGTCTTTCCACGTAGCTGCTCCCACCCAAGCACCTCGTCCGCTGCAGAAGCGCAGACCAGGGCGCGAGTTTTGAGGATGGGCCCTGACTGCCGGCACCACTGAGGAAATATGGGGCTAAACCCACAGAACTGGCATAAAGACTTCTATACCACCCCCAACCCTTTCAACTAGTATTATTTTCTCCAACGCCCTGGAAATGGTTGGTGTTTATTTAGGAAGTACGACACAGTTACTGGGATGTTAAAGGGGGGTGGATTTGGCTCCCAAAAGGCTTTAAAAAGAAACAGCGCACCTGGGGTTAGGCGGGTCATCATAATAACAAAAAGCGCGTCTACAAAATAAAAAGCTCTTTTATAAAGAAAGGCAATCCCGGAAATTCACTGGGAGCCTTCCTGAGAACCGTCTAGCTAGGCCTATTCTCAGGTTTAATTGGCAGGCAGTTTATTGGCGCCTTATTGGTGTTGACTGAATTTTGTTCCCAGTTCTTCCTTTTAAGAATTAGCATTTCAAGTCGATTTACCTGAGTCAATTATCTTTTTAGGGTCTGGGTTGAGTCATAAATTTGCAAATATTCATTAAACGCACTGTGTAAATATCCCTCTTCCCAATCGCCACCCAAACCTCGATTATTTCCTAAGAAAGTCTTTCCTTTTTTAAGGCTTCCATAAAAAGAAATTGATCAGGGGACTATATTTGAATTAAGACATATTAAATCGATGACAGATACACATCATGCTGTGTTTAACAAGAGTTGTACAAGGAGGCGGGTTCCAGATTCCGCAGGGCTCTGCTGCACCATTATTCACATTTTTACAGCCTTTCCTTCATGCCTTCACTCATTAAACCATTAAATTTCAGCAATTCAATAAAACAAAGCAGTTATAATTTTGAGGAAAAGCTATTTTGAATGGGGGTGGAGGTACTCGTTTTATTGCACCATAAAAATGCTCAACAGTCCATATTAAAGGTTATGTTGTGGTTATTTTCTTCTTTATTCATTCTTTTTGTTTTGTTTTTACATATAACCTGCAGAATTGAACGTAAAGCTGCCATTATGGAAGTACTGACGCCCACTGCCAAGGAATTCAAATAAAGGGGACTCGCTTGAAATGTTCTGAGAGGTAACGAAGACAGTGGCGACAACCCCACATACGCTGCTTTCCCTATAAACCATCCATAGAGATGGCACAGTCCTTGCCCCACCTTTGTCTGGCTGGCTTGAGGTGGTTTTGAGTCTTTAAAACGAAATTGTAAAAGATCTTGTCCTCTCCAGGTATGGGTGTGGATTTCGTCTCTTTTGTTTATTTTTTTTAAAGAATTCTGTTGTGTTTGCACTATGCCTTTTTTATTCCCCCATATTTGAATTTCACTGAAAATTAAAGAAAAGCAAGACATTTGAAATTTGATTGTATTTTATTTGTTTGGCTGTTTTATGAGAGAAATGACATTTCCTGGGCTCACAGGGAAGTTTCCTGTTAAACATTGTTCACATCAATGTAAATGGGGCTATGGAATCAGGGCTTTTGAAAATATGTCTTTACCTCTTTCCAGGTCCAGCTCCCAGAGGGTGGCTTTGTGCCGTCTATTTTTGTGTGGGCTGAATATGAATTACACTAATAACGTTTCATTGTTATTCCCAAAAGAAAAAATCCGTTTGTCAATTTTTTTCAAATAATTTTATGCAGGGCAACAAAATGAAAATTAAAACCTCTGACTTTAAATTTTGAGCATCTTGGAACATCACACAATTTTAATAGCTTTATTTTTAAAAGCTGAGTGACACACTGGGCAGTAAGAACCCTAAAGTTTGGGGGATGCAACAATTCTCCCCCCGCCCCCCTCTGAAAAGTGATGCAGAAACCCTTTTTAAACTACTTTGATGGCAAATCATTTGAACTACATGGGTTTCACTTCTTTAAAAAGCCAGTGTTGGTGGTTTTTAAAATAAAACATCTCTCTTGCTAGTTCAGCTTATTAGACAATTGGTAGCAAGGTAAAAGTCTATTCAATTAGTAAATATGTAACGAAGACATTGCTTGACTTAAAAATGATTTTCTTGGATCAATTCTAATTCATGGTCCTTTCAAAGAAACTGAGGCACACAGGTGGAGTCCATTCCGGACTGGGAGGAGAGCTTCTGCTTAAAGGGTATTATGTGCTTGTTTGCTTCCTTCTGGAGAGATGCGGTTTGGCCTGGCCCGCCACTGTATCTCCCAGAGGCAAAAGTTAGAATCGCTGCCCAAAGTCCCGCCTCCTCCGCCCCCCAGATCTAATTGGAAGTGGCAGATCCAGAACCGATGAGCAGTGAGATTACATTTCGAGCCAACTCCTTTGAAGCATATTGAAAAGGACTCCATGAGCTAAAAAGTCGAGGTAAAACGTTTCCTTTTGGGAAAGATGTATTTTGACTTCACTTGGTGTTTGGCGGAGCCAAACTGCTCAGATTGTTTTACAACCAATAGGATTTTAATACCCTTCCTCAATTCCGTCTCCTGTGAGCCCTACGTGAGCGTCTGGCCTATTGGTGTCCCTCCCAAACAAGGTTCTAGCATCATCTCCACAAGTACGACGACGGGCGAACATCTAATCACCCTTTCTTCGGCGTAGCCTAGTGTGTGGATGTGGGAAGGGGCTCTGCGTGCAGTGAGGCGGGGGGGGGGTTGAAGTTGCCCCCCCCTTCCGCCTTTTGTGCCCCCATGGGGGTCCCCAGCCCTCAGCCACCACTCGCCCTTCGGCCGCGTGCCGGCGCACGCTCTCCGCCAGGAGCGTCTGGGAAACGCCGAGCGATGCGCGCGCAGGCTCAGCGCAAACTTTCTGCGAGTGCAACTTGGACATCCCCGGGGAGGTGGGGGGCGCAGGGCTCCAGGGGAGGAGGGGGCGCGAAGCGAGAGCTAAGGCGGCCGCGAGCAGCGGGGCGGCTTCCCGCTGGGCCGAGGGTCTGAAAGGGAGCCAATCGGGCAGCCGCGGCTGCTGCCAATCACGCGGCTCGCTCCAATCCCACCCGTGCCATTTCCAAAATCTTGGTCCCACTGTGCAGCTCAAATGTGGTGTGCACGCTGCCAATCGCTGGAGGACAGAGTGGGGACGGGAATGAGCAGAGTTAGGAGACCAGGACAAAGAAGTTAAAGAGCCCCTCATATATACATGTTTCTGGAGGAGGGCAGAGGGGGGAAAAAGTCACCCCCGTGAGGGTCTATGGGTTTGATTGTGTGGTTCTGATGGAGCCCCCTTTGAGCAAGAGGAACCCGCCAGCGTTGAGATTATTGGACTTGGCAACGGCTCAGGCCAGGCCTCTTCAGAATATGACAGGCTTCCCAGCGCTGGCCAGCCCGCCCGCCCACTCCCAACTTCG